TTAATCCATGTTACACTGTGTTTCTCTTTTCTTTCGATACTGTGACGTAAAATTGTAACGCGCGTGTATTAGCCGCGACGATATAACCGGTGGAAGAGGATTCATTCCATCAATCGATAAGTCCGTCCCACCGATGTTTCATATTTCCCTCGTTACACAATCCGGCCGATTAACCGAGATAAAACGCGCGGGAGTAACGCACGTTATCGAGCCTGCCAGGCTCCTCGTTCATTTCCAATGTTCCGCGGCTCGCGTAACGGGAATCGGCGTTCATTATCGGTTTCATTGTTGCGGAATAACACTGAACACCATCGGCGGACCGGAGCCGATAATATCCTCGACGTGGAAACGCGCGCTGGTTCTGTGTACGCGTGAAACGTTAATTAAAATTTGCCAGCAACGGCGAACAGCTTCATGCAAATCAGTATCGATTCAGCTCGAAAACCAGGATTCCACTTTGAGCTGGTCGACCGAAAAACCCATCAAGGACGGCGTCCACAGATGCGTCTAGCGATTTACTCGATCTTTATCTTTCGATTCGTCGTTTGCAGCGAACACGTTGTATATCTTCGACGTTGCTTCCTCTTTCATCGACGATTTCACAGCATGAACTTGGACAGCTTGTACTCCTGCGGATGCACGAGCATTTGCAACTCTAATCGAAGCAACTCCGCGTAGAAATAAAAGAATCCAAGGATGAATGCCAGCATGCCTATCGAGATATCGTAGTCGAAGATCAGACGGAGACAGAAAGAAAGAGAGAGAGAGAGAGAGAGAGAGAAAGATGAAACAGATGTGCAACAGAGGGCGGAATGACGAAAAACTCGAGCGCGAGGATGTTCGACAGACGCTTGTAACCGGGATTTCGAAAACCACGGGAGTCCACACTGTACGCGGTCTCGACATGAACTGAAAGACTGGAGGTTTACGGTTAGCCGTGTGCGTAAGGCATTACGTGCGTGTGCGTAACAGACCGTACACACGTGTGCACCTCTGTACCTGTGCATACAGGGTGACGCGGAAGAATTCATCGAACGCGTTTCCCCCTCCTCTCCAACCCTTCGACTTTTCACCATACGAAATTCCGTGAATACCTTTGCAATGACACGCGAGGAATTTCTTTCCCTCTCTGATACCCTTTTGCACGATGTATCGGCAACTTTAAACACACACACACACAGCTTTCTGTACAGAGAAAGTACAATCTATCTCCATGAAATAAAAACGTTAGTTTCCTTCTCAGGCGAGGAACATATTAAGAAAAGTACGAAATCTACATTTCCAACAACACTCGGTATAAGAGAGAACTTAAGAGGCGAATGAAACGCGCGAGGATTGAAATCCAGCAAACTATTTCATTTTATTTCATATTTCACGCATTCTCGCTCCACTTTAAACCGAACAATTCCGCTCGTTTCCTCCGCAAAACTGTACGCCTGTTTAATTGACCGTCCGAAGGAAAACCTACAGAGATAGGTACCTTTTTCTTTACCGTTCACCGTGTATGTCACACTCGTTCTCGTAGTTCGATTGTGTGCCGATTGTGGGAACCCTTTGTCGTGTGTTGGTAGAACGTTTCTCTCTCTCTCTCTCTCTTCACACGCGCGTCTATGTACACGTACACACGCACACGTTCGAAACCCCCGATACACGTTTCGTGGACAAGGGTGACGTGAATATGTGTGCACCTATTAATGTGCATCACGGCTGCGTGAACACCCTACATGCAATTCTACTCGTGCGCCTCATGGTCAGGGCGGGACGCATTATTTTCTGCAATAATGCGAATGAGAGTTCTTTGTGCGGGTCGCAGGAAGGTGGACACGCGCTCTGGCCACAGACACACCGGAATATTCGAGACAGACTACTACGTCTCGTGCAGAGTTCAATAATCCAGGCACAGCCCGATCGTTCGCGAATTGCTTTCGTAACGGGACGAGAGATTTTCTAGGAGTCGCGTGGGACGCGCGAGATGGACGATTTTAATAAATGTTGGATCGGTCACGAGGATGTAGGATTGGCTTTCGTAGAGTGGTTGTGTCGGAGATTTGATAAGTTTGGTGGACGCTGTGACTGCAAAGTACATAGTTAATTTATTTATGGAGATGGTCGGTATCTGTGGAGTGGAATATGTTGTTTTCAACATTGTTATTCGTGTTTGTGATATTTTGAAATAATCGGGGGAATATTGAAGATTCGTGTTTTTAATATTCGTTTTTGTATTTGCGGTATTTTAAGAATTAATATTTTCAAATAATCCTTGGAGAACGTAATATTGGCAGGGAAATGAAGTATTAATATTTGCAATATTCGTGGTATGATGTTCGTATTATTTATATTCGTAATAATTTAATGTTTTGAATATTATTAATTCATAATGTTTTCAATATTTTAGTATTATGAATTCGTGATATTTTTAATACTATGAATATGAATAATACGAACATTATACTATGAATATTAAAAATATTGATTTTTGGGAAGTGTCAGAATATTTGTGTAATATAGTAATTAAACAGAATTTCGATTAACGTCACGTACGAAAGTGCATGAAATATTACGGTGTCTAAATATTTTCGAGAATAACTATAGGTAACTATTGGATTATGGGATTAATAAATAACGTTCACTGTATATTTTCTTTTAAATGTGTTTTATTTGTACGGCGCGGAAGGACGTCTATACTCTTCGAATTTCGTGGCCGAAGTGAAAGGAAAGAAAAAACCGTTAAGGGCACGACTGAAATTCTGTTGCGCATTTAAGAAAAAGAGACCAAGAATACGTCAGTCTATTACGTTTCTCTCACTAGCAGTGTTTCTCATATGTATAACACAATTCATTTTTGCTTACTGGCTGACGCATTATTATTAGTAATAACCCAACAGTAACGATGAATAAATTTTTATTCTATAAGTTGGCGAGAAATTAAACTTTAGACAGATTGTGTTTTTCCTAAAAAATTAATGTTTAATCAACATAATTTTCACACGGCTCTACGCACTTTTCTTTACTTTTACTCACTTTTTCCAAATTTATAAAAATCACTAATCTTCGAACGCTGCTTTTGCGGCGTCTCCATTTCGGAACAATTTATTTGGTAAAAAGATAAATTAGGAGAGAACGTGGCAAAATTTCACATTCTTCACCGTGAACTTCACTGTCGTTTTCCAATAAAGAGTCACCAACCTTGAATTTCACAGTACAACGTTAAAGTGTTTAAACTTACCTAAACAAATTACGCGAATGTCTTGATTATTCATCGCGTGAAATAATAATGAACAAAGATTAATATTATGAATTCTTTTACTATTCAATACACGTGATTAAATACTACAGCAAACTCTTCCTTTTCAGCTGCTTTGTATAAAAATTTATCGTCGAACGAAATTTCAATAAGCACGCCGGAAATATTTACATAAATTCAGATATCCGGTTAAACGAAAATATTTTCAATTTAGTAGATTGAAGTGGGTCACGCAAACAATTTCGATGAGTCATAAGTAAATAATTGGCAGGTCAAGGGTTGCTCGTCGTTGTGTTAGATATTCAAGTTTATCTGTTATTGCCGGTTGAAAAATGGTAAAGAATATGAGACGAAAGAACGGTGAATGTATGAATTTCAAGATTTCCTGTATTTGCAAGTTCGTAGGAGTAGGATAACCAGAGTTGGAACAACGATGAACAGCGCCCATTGCTCCAGATTGACCTACATTCCTC